CCTTGCCCACAGTCAGGACAAATCTTTGTCACCCGCCAGTCCCACAGCCGCTCAGACCCAACCAAGTAAACACAGAGACTTATATTACTTACAAACTGTATGACTGTGGCAGGCTTCTTGCTGACTGTTCTTATGGCTTAAATTAATCTAGTTCCATAAATCTATACCTTGCCACGTGGCTCGTGGTTTACCGGCATCTTCCCATGCTGCTTGTCCTGCCGGCGGCTGGCTGTGTCTCCTTTTGCCTTCCCGTTCTTTCTTTTCTCCTCTGTGTTAGTCCCACCTATACTTCCTGCCTAGCCACTGGCCAATCAGTATTTTATTTATTGACCAATCAGAGCAACACATTTGCCATACAGAACATCCCACAGCACCTGACCTAAGTTCTGTTCAGGCCAACACAGACAGATTTAAGAATGTATATCTAACCTCCTTACTTTAATACCTCATTCAATTAGCAATGTTTTACATCTATCTTCCATAAACCTTATTCTCAGGACAGGAATTATCAAACAAAAATACATCCTAATCCAAAATATCTTGGACACCTGTTGTTGCCTCCTTAGTAGGCCCACTCCATGTGGTCACCTTTAGTTAAGATGGCAATGAAGTCACATGGCCTCCCTCTTCTCCAACCCTAGCAAAGATAGATGCCTACCAGCCTCCTTACTACACTTCATTTAGTTAAGATGGTGGAGAACCATGTGTTGTTTCCCAGAACAGCTCCAATATAGCATTATAAGTTTTAAGTTAATTTTTTTTACAGATGTTTAACCATGCCTGACTCCATCAACTGTTTTTTTAGTTAAGTAGAATAGCTCAAAAGAACTTTAATATTATTTATAACAAAATGATTTACGAATCTCTGTTATTACACTAGATTTAGTGGCCAGAAATCCCAGAGGCCAATTCTGAGCCCAGGCAGATGGTTGCAACATTGGCAGCTAAGAAATCACCAGGACACACAGAACATAGTAAACTCACACAGATGTTTAACCAGACCTTGGAATTTTTTTAATGAAGTAGAGCAATTTTAAAAGTAAAACACACACACACACACACGCACACACACACACACACACACACACACACAGAGAGAGAGAGAGAAACCTAATAAGAACCAAACAAATTTTATTTTAAGCTTTAAACTTTAAAAGTTTTGAGGCAGAACAACATTATTATTTCAATTCCATTTTTTCCCTAAAGGAATTAGAAAATAACTAATATGTTTATGTTTTAAGCATGTAGTAATGTTATATTATAAGAATACTGATAACAAAACATATGTTCAAAAATGTCAGATTTTTGGAGATCTTATAATACTTTGGGACATATATAAATGCTTATTTGAAAATATAGGTCTAACATATAGGTCCCTTGGAATTTCAAGACCTCCTGAAATCTCAAAGTCAGTAGTAAATCAAAGACATTACATTTTAATTTGTAAATTATATAAAATGCTAAAGTATTTGGTAAAAATTACAAAAAAACACACAAAAAATCACCAAAACAATTATGGACCCAGGAGATGTCAGAATATTGATGGCCAACCTGCACCAAAAAGGTGTGGGATGGGCCACAGTTCTCTATTAAGATCAGATGCAAGAACCCCCTGTTGGTTTTGCTCTTCCCTTTATTGATTATTGAACCCTATGCTTTTTGTTTATAGGGAAAACTTCCCAATGTGAACATGGAGAATGAAAGATTATTCAGGTGCTAATATTCCTTGATATCTGTTCATTGTCTATTTGATCTCATGTGCATCTGTCCCAGAAGTTTCAGGGGTCTTTTTGAGCACCAATGCTAATAGGTAACAGTTCCTGGGAGGCAAGAAGGCAGTTCAATACCTCTAAATAGCTTGTGTTCATTTCAGTTTCTGGAGTCTGACACTGAATGGTTTAATTTTGGTGTATTTAAGCACAGCACAATTTTGCAAATATTTTCCTGGTGATAAGTAACTCAATCCCATGTGCACAATAAAACATACATACATAAACTTTAAGGAACAAAGTAAGCTAAATACATATCAGACATGATCACATGGAAACTCTTTCATAAAATACATGGGATGCCTTCCATAGAGATGGGTTCTATAGATTGGGAAAATCAACCTATGATATGGGTCTGGGTAGGACTGAGTTTGATTTTCAAACACACAGACTATGCAAAGTTGACTAGACTAGAAAGCACATCTGCTCCCAGCTTTCTGGACAGACAACTGGTTATGCATTCCTTCCCTTGAAGGAACAACTATGTGTGCTAGCATTCCAGGTTCCCCTAGTGCTCATCTGTGGGCATGAGGACCTCTGTGCCTCCTACAAGAAGTTCTATGCCTTTCTGAAATCCTTTTGCAGCTTCTACTTCCATTCACTACTAGTCCAACTGTTTCCTTCATTCTGTGTTTTATCTCTCTTTTGTAATTTAGGACCATCATTATATTTAGAGAAACAAATAATCAAACAAAAAAAAGAAAATAAAAAATCCAAAAAACTACCTCTGCCTTCTTTGGACACATTTTCCTATTTTATATATATCCTCATAAACCCTTATAAAACATGTCACACTCCCCTTCCATACTCAGTTGTTTCCATTTGTTACATACAACAAAATGCTAAAATACATAAACCTTAAATTTCTGCCTCATTTTTTTTACTATGTTAACTTCCTTACAAATAACCAAGACACCTTGTCTCCAAACAAGCAAACAAAGAAATAAATAACCTAAAGAATCTTAGTAATGATTACTATTGATGTGAGGATGCACCATGAGTAAAAACAACTTGGGGAGGAAAATATTTGTTTGGTTTATGTTTCCATATCACTCTTCATCAACCAAAGGAAGTCAGGATAGGGACTTAAACAGGGAAGGAACTTGGAACCAGAAACTGATGCAGGGGCCATGAAATGGTATGGTTCACTGGTTTGCTCTCATGGCTTGATCAGCCTACTTTCTTATACAACATAGGGATGGCACCACCCACAATGGGCTGTGCCCTTCCACATGAATCACTAAAGATGAAAATGCCCTACAGGAGGGCATCAAATGGAGGCATTTTTTTCTCAACTGAATCACCCTCCTCTCAGTAAGAGGAGAGAATCCTGGTGTCCTATTGTGTCAGAGACATCTTAATGGTGAAAACTCTTTATTTCTCCACCCACATGAGATCCCCCCCCCAAACAAAGGAAATTTTGTCTTCTGACTCTATACACAAGGGGACTACACAGATGTTTGAGAGGATGACAGGGTTGCAGCCATCTCAGAGAAGGGTCAGACAGGGACCAGCAAGCCCTGGGAAACCCACCAGAAGTTTAGGCTGGGGGCTGCAGGCCCTGGGAAACTCATCAGATGATGTGCTGCCCCTTGACCAAGACAATTAAAAGCCACATAAAAAACGATTTCCAGACATTCCCTACCATAACCTAAAGGATATGACAGATTATATACCATAGCTGTCAGAGGGTCGCAAGTTTCCTGCAGATAAGAAATGGAATGTCTCATTGTCAGAGAAAGTGGGTCTGCAAATGATATAGTCGCATGACATAAACTGCTAGAGAATATGGCAATTTCCTTGCAGCTGCAACACTCCAATCTGTTCAAACCAAGCATCTCCAACCTGGAGTAGGCACCACTCCTGAGTTTGTGACTCTACAGAGTTGGAATTCCCCTAGACCTCCCACCCTAACCACTATAAAATTCCTATCCTGATACTGCTTAAGGTCACTGTCACTCCACTGCTGTGATGGTTGTAAAAGGGATCTGGGTTTGAACTCGTGAATTTAAAAGACTCTTTGCTTTTGTATTCAGGTTGGTCTCTTGATGGTCTTTGGAGGCATTGGACTTTGGGTGCAACAGTGTTTACTGACTGCCTATAGATCCTGCAGTTAAAAGAAGACAAAGTAGGTTAGGGGTCTAGGATGTCTGGTGGTAGCCTCTGTCCTTTTAAAGGCTGGATTGTGGTAGCTTCTCCTACTGCAGCTCACACCAGAGCATCAGCTCTACGATGCGGCAGTGAAGAACAATTGCAAAGTCCATGGTGTCTTGGCTAAGCTGAGAGATGTGGTTCTACCACAAAGCACTCAAGATGTCACCTCCTGGTATCTCAGGACTCCCCACACCCCCCAAGAACAGATGTGTGAGTCTACTTGGTCCTGCATCTGGGCTCCTCCTGCCCTGTCACAGCAAGTTTTCTGACCCTGTCTGTCTAAAGTCAGCTGCTAAGAAGAGTGGAGGAGAAATCACACAGGAAGAGACTCACATCCTGGTACTTGCTTCCTTCCCAGAAGGCTTTTCCCCATCATCCTCTACTTTAAGGCCTTCTTGGGGTTCCCTGACAGGGGAGAGAAGGGGTTACAGTAGACACATTCAGGAGAGGTTGTAATTGGTCTCAAGAAAGATTTTTCCAGCTCTGGGTTTCTACTTCTGCTTCTATCAAAGTATTCTTTGGCATTCATTTCAAATTTAGTTGACATGATGTCTCAAAAGAGTTGATTTCAAATGAGTCTTGCTCACAGAGTGCATAGAGAAGTGGGCATAAATAGATTGAGGCAGAGGGACAATAGAGCCTTTACTAGAAAGATGTGTGTCCTAGCGCTTTCTGCAATTTCCCCAACCTACATCAAGGACACTAGAATCCTAACTTCATGAGATAGCTGGGAAAGGAGATGGCAAACTGAGAAAGTCATGTGTAAATTATGAAGCTCAAGCCAGTGTGGGGTATAGATACAGGCTGCATGTGCCACACCATCAATTTTGTGAACTAATTTGGGTGATATTGTGATTTTGGTATCATCCTGTAAATTGAACCTAAAGCTATCTATCCATTTCCCCTGGATGTAATACGGTTCCTTGGAGGTGGCCTCATTTACATTGTATCTATCCAATAAGAAATGCTCACCTAAACCCATCATAGGAGCCCATTCAGAGTTCTCTCACTGGGGCTTCAGTTTCCTCTTTGTAATTTAGCTCACTCTTCATTTGTGCTCAGCCCAGACTCAGAAAGTATCAAGACCTGTCAGGGGCAGGGCTGAATTTTCCATCTTCATGTCTCCCTCTTCTGGGTCCTCTTCATTGGAACTCTGGAGGACACAATCTGATTAACCTGTTACTTGCTCAGGTTACTCTTATGTCTTCATGCCTGTCCATTTGCCACCTGAGAGCACTGTTACAGGACTCTGTCTCTGTTTCTCCTTCAGTCTGAATCCTCAAGTGATTCTCCATTCTCTATCAATTAAATCCTAGTTCTCCCTTTTTACATTTAACTACCACCGCCTCTCTGGTTGTTTTAATCACTGTATGTATTCCCATAACTCTGTTTTTATGTGCAAAACATAAATCAAATTTCACTGCTTAGATTAATTTTCTACAAATGGAGGGTTAGACACAGATGGTTCCTCTTGTCCTACAAATGATACATTCTGACTGTTGATTATTTATTGTTTCTTCTGTAGAAAGGCCTCCTCCCCAGGTTCTCCTCACTCTGACTGCCCTTGGAGGCCTAGGTCACTGATACTGTGTCTGGAAACTTCCTACCTGTTCAGAAAGCTTCCCAATGACCTGCATTGTGTTCCTCAGAGCTGCAGACAAAAGCCAAGGTGACAGTGCTGAAGGGAGACATTCTGGATGCCCAGTGCCTGAGGAGAGCCTGCCAGGGCGTCTCTGTTGTCATCCACACCGCTGCCTCCCTTGACATCTTGGGTGCCATTCCCAGACAGACTGTCCTGGATATCAACCTGAAAGGTACAGTGTCTCAGGAGGATATGGAGAGAGTGGGAAAATTAGAATGGTCATATAGGACCATTTGGGGACATGGAATGAGGACATGGGACAGGGAAGTGCCAGCCATGGAACACCTGCTGTGCTCTGGGTCTGTCAGATGCCTCTGCTTGCCAGCCCAGCTAGCAGAACTCAGGGCTTTTGTCCTTGATGTTTAGAAGAAGAGATTGGGCTGAGAGAGGAGGGAACAGAGGCCCCACAGGTAGTCAGAGGAGAGAAAACACAAAGCCACACCCAGACACTTCAACAGCCAGGACGTTCTCCTGCTCCTCCATTCCATAGTGAGTGGACTTCATCTCCACGTGCTTGATGTTCACCCATCCACTGCCTCTCTGGACCAGACCCTGACCTTTTCTCTGTAGAGAGCTATCTAAGCCCCTCCACAGGGTGAAGAATGATCCAGCACTTGTTTTCTTACAGCAACAGTTTTCCAGTTTTTACAAGGCCACAGTGTTAGTCTACTCTTGAAGACTGGTCCTAGCCAAGGCAGAAAGACTCCTCCTCAGATCTTCATCCCTAAATGCTTAGGCCCTTGGAAAGGAGATTTGCAATATGCTTTAGTAAAGGACTTTACTATATAATATGATCACTCTGAACCCCCAAAAAAGTGAGTCTTCTTAGTATCATGGTTTTCCAAGGTCCTGTTTGGCATGTATCCTCCACATGACCTCCAAATTTAGTGACTTGGGCTCCCTTTCCAAATCAACTAATTATTTGGGGATGGCCATTACCAACTCAAAAGGATCCCTATTAGTTCTACCTGGTTACTTCTCTCATACCCTCCCTTGCAGGTGGGTGCCATGAATACTCAGATTCTCAGTTCTCTTTTAGTCTTTACTAAAGGAGAAAAATACCAGCCTTTAATTTCTAATTATGAGTGTATACTGCATGCCTAGACATAGTGGTGCCATTCTGTAATACTAGCACTTAGGAGGCTGAGTCAGGATTATTATACCTTGGAACCCACTCTGGACTGCATAGGAATAAGAGTCTATCTGAAAAATAAGATAAAATAAAATAAGATAAAGACATATTGCCTCTATACTATACCTGAGTGGGCATGCTGTAAATTCTGAACTAGTTCTGAGACTACGGTATCTTGAATTTTTGGATTAAAAACTGGCCCTCCTTTAATTAAACAAAATGCATGAAAATAAGTGAAACTTTGCTTTTATTTGGGGAAGGAGCCTTTTTGAATTTTTTTATTGTCTCAGGGGTCAAACCTTGCAGACAATGCAAAGGCTTAATCACTGAGCTACATCCTCAATATAATGGGAATTTATTGATGTCAGTTTCTAGACAGCATAAAGGAATAATTTCCCAGAATAAAAATCTAGGGAAGTCCTTTCCAGAATAAAAATGCTGGTTTTTTGATTGATTAATAGTAATCACCTGAAAAGAGGGAACTTCATCTAAGAAATGGCTCCCATCAGATTGGTCAGGGGTTATATCTGTAGGTTATTTTTGGATCAGTGATGGATATGGGAGGGCCCGCTCACTGTGGGGTGTGTCACCCCTAGGCAGGTGGTCCTGAGTTATACAGGTAAACAAGATGAGCACATGAAAAAGCAAAGCAGTAAAGAACTTTTCTCCATGGTTTCTGCCTTTGTTCCTGGGTGACTTTCCTCAGTGACACACTGCCATGCGAACATAGAAGCCATAGAATCTGTTCCCTCCCCATATTCCTTTGGTCATGGTGTTTATCACAGCAACAGAAAGCTTACTGGGACAGTGGCTCAGTGGGAAGGTCCTTGTCTACCATGTGGAAGAGCCTAGGTGTGATCCCAACACGGAAAAGAAAAATAATTATATTCAAACAGAGAGAGAAAGAGAAAGACAGAAATAGGGAGACAGGGAGAGACAGCAAAAAAGAGAGAGATAGCTCTATAAACTCAGAAACCTAGAAGTCCCTGCTTTTCAGAATCTCAATGTCACCTCTTTTAATTTGGGGTTTATTCTGTGGCTACAGAATGGCAATTTGAGTCAAGATCGGGTAAGAATGTGTTTAGATCTGTAGTAGTCCTTCCACTGGGGATTAAGTGGGGATGAATCTGACTCCACAGTGGACCCTTCAGCTTCTTTCCTAACAGTAATGGTGAACTTCCCATACTCAGGTACTCAGCTCCTGTTGGATGCTTGTGTGGAGGCCAGTGTCCCAGTCTTCATCTACAGCAGCTCAGTGTCTGTGGCTGGACCAAACTCCTACAAGGACATCATCCAGAATGGCTGCGAAGAAGATAATCATGAAAGCACATCATCTCATCCTTACCCATACAGCAAAAAGATGGCTGAGAAGGCAGTGCTGGCAGCCAATGGGTGCACCCTGAAAGATGGTGGCACTTTGCATACTTGTGCCTTAAGACTCCCATTCATCTATGGGGAAGGGAGTCAACATATTTCATACACAGTGAATAGAGCACTCAAGAATAATGGCACACTTGACAATTTTGCCAAATTCTCTGTGGTCAACCCAGTGTTTGTGAGTAATGCAGCCTGGGCACACGTTCTGGCAGCCAGTGGCCTACGAGACCCCAAGAAGTCACCAAGCATCCAAGGTCAGTGCTACTACATCTCAGATGACACCCCTCACCAAAGCTATGATGATTTATATTATGCCCTGAGCAAGGACTGGGGGTTCCACCTTGATCCCAGTTGGAGCCTTCCTCTGCCCATGCTCTACTGGCTTGCCTTCCTGTTGGAAACTGTGAGCTTCCTGCTGCATCCAATCTACAATTACCAGCCTCCTTTTAATCGCTATATGGTCACACTGTCAAATAGTGTGTTCACCTTCTCCTACAAGAAAGCTCAGCGAGATCTGGGCTATGAGCCACCTGTCAGCTGGGAGGAAGCCAGACAGAAAACTTCACAGTGGATCGGGTCACTAGTGGAGCAGCACAAGGAGACACTGAACACAAAGACTCAGTGATGTGACTATGGCAGGGACATGGCCCTGAAGTTGTCAGGTCCTCCAGAAAGTGTCTAAGACACAACCCATCTCCTACAGTTCCCTTTGACACACTGGCCAACTTGTCTTCCAGTCACCAAAGCCTTGCCAGGCACTGACCCAAACTTTTGCCCTGAGCACTTGCCCAGAGACACACAGGCTGTGCCTCAACTGCTGTGACCAAAGGCTCAGTTTCTGGTGGTGAACTGAACAGAGCCTCCTGTAACTTAGAATTTCATCAGTGTTTCCATTTCCCCTCTCACAGTTCCAAAGCATTGCTTGTCTGAGAAAATTCCCATTGCTTCATGAAGCTCAAAGAAAGAACAATAAAAAGGTTTCATGACTAATCCAGAGAAGGTTGGTTTGGTGAATCTTGATTACAGCTTTCCTTACTATATCCAAGTAAGGCCATAGTCAGAATAAAAACAGAATGTCACTCCCATGGATGTGGGCCCAAGCATGGACTAGATGACTGACCTGGGGTGCCTCAGTTCAGCATCACCAGGTCACAGACAACATCTTGCTCATGGTCTTAGGAAATTCAAGCCCACCTCCTCCCACTGAATGGTGGAGGTTATATTGGTTGTCAGTGGCTACAGCACAGCCCTGGAACATAGTCTGTTCCTCCAGGAAAGAGCCTTGCCTCCCTTTGTCTCCCTCCTTCTTACCCTTCTTACCACCTATACATGGGGCTCTCTAGAACCAGGACAAGCATTGAGAGCTACCCAGTAGACTGTAACACTGTTAGAAATGGCCCTGGGCATCAGAGATGATCTGAGAGTCTCCTTGTAATGAATTCCTCCAAATGTACCTCCTCCTGAGCGTACAATGTGAAAATCTGCTACCCCTACCTCTAAATGTAGCTGCCCTCCCTTTCTTTCCCTCCATTTCCCAATCTCTTAAGCCCATATCCTTCTATAGCCTTAGCATCTTTCCTTCCCCTCCCTCCCTCTCATCCCCCAGCTTCCCTGAGCTGAGGAAGCCTGTCAGGACAGGGGAGGCCTACAAGATAACAGAGTCAGTAGCTTACTACAGAACCCACAATTGTAAGAGGGCCTGTCTGCTCAACCAGACATCATCAACCTGAGGGAGCTGTGGGGACACAGTATAGAGGAAAGAAAACTGTCTTCTGTCACAATTGGGTAGTAACTCACCTACCTTTTGGTATCACAGACAACATGAAAGTCACATCCAGCATCAATATTTCTTTCTCACCTCACATTGATTAATGTTCGTAGGATGACATTGATTGGTACTAAGCTTCTGTATGAGGATCAGGAGACAAAACCATGATGAAGTTCTATACAGCAAACCAAACCTAAAAGTGTTTTCCTGGTTACTACAATATCAAGAGAGAGAAACAAGCACCATTTTCAAGCAGGCCATTTATAGCTCAGGAAGCCCCACTTGGTTTCACATTAGCAAGGGGTCATCTGGAAGTGGATGCTCTGCCTTTGTCAGCCAGTCCTGCTTCCTTTGCCCTGCCAGGCCAAGAGAGCCCCAGTTCGGCTCACTGGACAGTGTTCTATGGTATAAAAGGAAGAGCCACCTGTTTCTGGGTGTAAAAGTAAATTCCAAGGACGGTTTCTAGCTACATATTTCTGTTTTGACTCCTAATCCATCAGTTCTTTGAGAAAAAAAAAAAACCTTTTTATTGTTCTTTTCTTTGCGCTTCATGAAGCAATGGGAATTTTCTCTGACAAGCAATGTTTTAGGACTGTGTGAGGAGAAATGGAAACACTCACTAAGGATGTAGCTTTAGCATTCACTCTATAAGAGGGAGGGGAGATGCTCAGGCACCACCCACAAGGACACAAGTAAGAGCTCTCACCTGGCTCCCAGGTTGTGGGCACCTGAGGACTGGAGCTCGTACACCCCATCATCTTACACAGAGTGAGTGTCCATGAGCCCAGGGTAAACTGGACACTTTCCACAAGCCTGTTCCATTAGCTCAGAAGGAAAGGATATGGTGGGGTTGGAGAAAGGATCTTCAGTCTTGATTTCAGCCAACTTAAATCCCTCATTGAATTCACTGGTCCATTTTCTCAGGGGAAAGCAGTCTCCCAAGTTTTAACAAGGGTGAGCGGAAAGAAAGGAGAGTGACCTGGTTTGTGCGTCTAGCCTGACAAGCATAAGGCCATAGAATCCTTTGGATAACAAAGACCCCACCCTCTTACCTACTCAGTCTGGGTACAGAGTTGCTGGTGGCAGTTACAGCTCCTACACACTGGAGTCATGTACTACATGCAATCCACCACAAGGAGGCAGTAAAGGCACAGGAAGATTGGCAGCTGCCCCAGCCTGTGAGCCTCCTCCTCTTTTCCTCTGGATTCTGCAGTCTGTGGCCAAGGAATAAGGGAAGCTCAGAGATGTGCTCACCCACAGGTTTAAGTGTGATGTACAAATGACGGAAGAGAATGGAGTTGAGCAGAAGGTGTCCAGGAAAGCTTCACACATGTGGTGGGACTTTAAAGGATTGTCAGGTGGGTCTGTGCAGGGAGGGCAGCCTGAGAGATGGTGCAAAGGAGGAGAGTGCAGGTGGAGGAGGAGGAGGTGGGCCAGTGAGTAAGGAGGCTGGACACCACTTAGCAGGGTTTGCTGAGAGACAGTGGGTGTCCTGGGTGCCAGACACAGCTGAGCACTAGGCTAGGGTGACCTCTGGGGACCCAGCAGAGTGTTCAGTAGATGGTCTGTTTAAGAGGCCACCTGCAGGAGAATGTCCAGAGACAATACTTGTTCCTTGATCTCCAAATACTGGAGTGTGAGCTTTGGGCAGCAGAGTGAGAACACACAGCTGAAGGAAGAGGGGGAGTGGCCCCCGCTCCTCAGCTGGGTGTGGATCCTGTTTCTTAACCAGAAGGTGGGAGGCTCCAGTGACTCAACTGTTTCTCCTTGGTGTGAGATCTCAGTACACACTTCATCGAAATCTGACCCTTCAGAAAGCTCGATATGAGGTTTAATTTAAAAAGATGCAATCTAATGGAAAAGAAGTACGAAATCTGAGAAAAGGTATTTGATGGTGAACTCGGGGCCCTGTCCCAGTGCTCCAACCCTGATCCAGACTTACAGTCTAGTAAAGGGAGAAAAATATGACAGGTAGGGGCTCTAGGTAGAAGGTGCACAGTGTCCTGAGACGGTCAGGTGCTAAGGGAGGTTGGTATTCCTGCTGGATGAGGGAAGCACATACTGTGAGCTTTATCAATGAATAATGGCAGTCAGGGGACAGGCCCCGGCCCCACTCAATACGCTATGGAAAGCAGTAAGTATTTAACTTCAGCTTACTGGAAAGCATCCTGGGGCAGATGGATTAGAAGAGATAATGGGACATTCCAAGAGTCTAGCAGCAAAGTGGAGGCCTGATGCATGTGACTGCAGCAAAGTGGAGGCCTGATGCATGTGACTGCAGCAAAGTGGAATTCAGGTCTAGTGAGGCAAGCCTGGGAAGAGACACCAGCAATGATTAATTGTCCTCACTGCAGACCCTTGGGCACATGCAGCAGGAACTATCTGATGTCACACAGTGCCCTCTTCTGGTTAGTTTTAACCATCATCTTGACAGTGCCTAGAATCACCTGGGAAGGCAGTCTTTACAAGGAATTATGTAGACTAGGTTGGCTGCTTGCATGGCTGTTTTTAATCAACATGAGAAGGTGTGAGAGAGAAGAAAACTTCAGGGACCAGAAGCAGCAGCAGGCGGCATGGATGCATTTGCACTTTCCTTCTCCTGACTGTGTATGTGATGTGACTGGTCTCTTAAGTCCCTGCCTTGACTTCCCCAGAATGACAGACTGTAACCTGTGGTAGTATGCCAAACTCTTTCCCCTTTATTCAGCTTCTGGCCAGTGAATTTGTCACAGCAACAGAAGTGAAGTCAGAATCCAAGCATTCCGTCCCTTCTGCGGGAACTCCAAACCCTGCATGCTTTTTCTTCTTTCTGGCAGCCTAGCTTTGCTGCAGTTATCAGCATCCCTTGCCTCCTCCCCCATTCAGGTCTTACTGCCTTATTAGTCATCCATTACATCCTTATCTGATCCCTATATCACTCACTTCGATGGTTCATCAATTTCTAAAACTTGAAACTTCCTCCACATACCAAGCTTTTCTATATGGCCATGCAGGATGTTCTATTTCAAAACCATAGAGATATGGACCTCAGAGAACAGACTACAGGGACCAGTTTTATACAAGGCTAGACAATAGAGAGAGAACTGGGGTTGATAAATCAGGATACCCATCAGTTTATGGTGGCAGGGAGGAGATTTCCCTCTTTCCAATCATGATCATACCGACTGCTTGTGAAGTGATATTGGTCAAGCTTGACATTGTTTGTAAGGAAGTTGTGCTACTAGGTTTGTGATTGGGAGTTCTTGGTAAACTGTGGTTAGGAATGCTTCATTCTTCTCACGTTCCTTTTCCAGTTTCTAAATTATGAATAGTGCTTGCTTCTAAAAACCCCTTGAATAGGAAAGTGGATCCTGTGTATTTGAACCCACCTTGTAAAGAATGTTGGGTAATATATATATATATATATATATATAATATATATATACATTTAGGATTGCTGTCACGTGGGATTCTTCTCTCCACACCTAAAGCAGCACAGGCCCCAGATTCCAGACTCCATGAAGAAACTCTTTCCTACTGTGTGCTTAGGATTCCATACCTGGGGCTGAACACAGCACTGGCACTCTCTCCCTTGGATGTGCAAGGAATCTGAGTTAGGATTCTGAAGTTTGTGTTCCACAAATCTGTTAGTAATTCCCCTAGAAAGAAAATGACAAACAGAATCAGGGGCTTTGTGGGTGTTCAACTGTGAGCTTTTAGACAAAGGCTGCTCTGTAGTGGAATATTATTTTAAGATGTGTTACATTTGTTTATGCTGTGGAATATTTGACTTAATGATGGAAAAATATGTTGCAATCTTTTATGATGCTGTTGTTTAAGTCCGTGAAGCTGTGTTACTTTTCCTGTCTAAAACACCTGATTTGTCTAATAAAGAGCTGAACAGTCAATAGCAAGGCAGGAGAGAGGATAGGCTGGGTAGGCAGAGAGAATAAAGAGAAGAAGAAATCTGGAAGAAGATAGAAGGAATGAGGAAAGGAGCAGAGCATTCACAGGCCTGCCACCCAGCTTCACAACAAGCCATGGAGTAAAAAGTCATGAAAGAGCCAGGCGGTGGTGGCGCACGCCTTTAATGCCAGCACTCGGGAGGCAGAGCCAGGTGGATCTCTGTGAGTTTCAGGCCAGCCTGGGCTACCAAGTGAGTTCCAGGAAAGGCACAAAGCTACACAGAGAAAACCTGTCTCGAAAAACCAAAAAA